ATAAATAGTGGTGTATTTTAAGCAATGAAGTACCACTGTATAGTATCTTTCTTTTCAGGGATGGATATAGCCGCATTTTAAAATTCTTAAACTGTTTTTGTAAGTCTCAAACCCTGTACCAGTTCCCGAGACTCCTTGATGGCAGAAGCTGAAAATCATAATGGCAGCCCATTATGCAAATTCCCTGCATTTCATTAAACTTTTATTTTTAAGATCCTGCAGGTTTTTTGACCTTAGTATAAACATTTGGCTGATTTTCTGTATGAAATACAGAAACTTGGTAAAGTTTGGAAGCTTATCTGTTTTCCCAGCTATAGAAGCCAATGTAAAAAATCCTGTAAGTCTTGCTTCCCTCGGTGGGTAATTGAAGGGGTTTTGTCCATACTGACTGTTTTACTTTGGCAGCTGTTACAGACAGAGAGTAAACTGCTTTAAATAGGAGAATTAAAAGGAAGCACATCCATAGGAATTTACTCTCTTAACATGAGTTATGTAAAAGCTAGGTTTCTTGTACGATGTAGTCATCTTCTGATTTGATGGGTTTTATGGGTTTTCACTTCAGTCTGTGTCCTGACAGTTAGCACTGAAATTTCCCTGAGCTTACCTTTGAGGTAGATGAAAAATCTGCCAAATGTATGAAATCCATAGTTGTACGGACTTGACCAAAATCACTCAAAGCAGCATACGCAAAGGTTCATGCTTTATTTTCCAGTATCTCATATATATATATATATATTATTTTTTTTTCTACTTTAAAGCTCACAACCAGTATGAATAACGTCTTTTACCTTTTTCTTGTAAACATTTAGGCTTAAAGTGATTATAACTGACAGTTAAAACCAACAGGAGCCAGTGGCCTGCTCATATACACATTAACTGTAATACAGGCAGCATCAAAAATAAACGTTTCTAACAGTTCCTTCAATCCACCAAACCTAGCAGACAGATTTTTGGGGGTTTGTTGGTTTTTAAATTTTTTTTAAAACAGCTTTTTCCTGTGGTATAACTTTAAAAGTCCTTGTCTTTTCTGTGGAAAAAAATAAAGCTTGCATTTTGCATTATTTTACAGCTGACTTTTTAATGTATATTTTGATTCATTCACTGCTCCAGAGCAGCACAAAATGGTAAAAGGATTTTATCCAGCAATGTAAGCTTTTTCATATGGAATTGTTTAAAAATAATGATGGAGTGAGAGTTGAAGGCAAGCTAACTTTAACCTTTGGTAAAATAGGTCAGTCTTCTCATTGCATATAGTCACCAAAGATTCTGTGAGGTATCATATACAGTAATTAATTTGGGGTTATCATTTGACCATGAGTGTTTTGGTTTTGTTTTTTTTTTTTCTGGTTTGTACTGTTGAAAAATCTAAGATTGAAATTAAGAAATAGTAGTTGGCAAAAGGAGCTGTGCCCTCGTGATACTGTGGAGACAAACATTCTAGTTACTTGAGTGAAGTTAAGTGACGGTTAGCACACTTTGGCTACTGCTTGCTGCAAAATAAATAATTTGCCATCGGAAGCTATTTTAAAGTGAGGACTAAGGAGTCCACAGGTACAAAAACTGAGGTTGGAGAAATGCACAGAGATGATCCCAGAGCTGCGGGCTCACCCTCCTTTTGCAGCTATCTAGGTTCATTACTTGCTTGCAGCCAGGTTCACCTGCCAACTTTACTTGAAAGTA